AAGTTCTGATGCTCAAAGACTCATGGAATTAAAGGGAAGTAATCAACTCAGGGGGGGTTTTCTCTTCTTATCTCTGATACCTTTTATTCCTTATCTTTAATCTCTGATACCTTTTATTCCTTTATTTTAAATTGAAAAAAATCTGGTTTTTGTCATCATCAAAAAGGGGGAGATTGTTAGAACATAGTTTGATTCTACAACCCTCAATTAGAGTTTTGATGATAACAAAATACAAGAATAAATAAATTGTAAGATTTATATATAAGACATATATGCTACTTAAAATTATGTTTTGTGTTTATAGAAGTTCTGATGGAATCAGCATCAGAAGATCATATCAGCATCAGAAGATCAGTAATATGTCAGCATCAGAAGATCAATAACATGTGCTACACGCTGAAGTTACCAGATCATACGCTGAAGCCTGATGAACAGAATCTGCGCATAAAATACTCTGACTCTGATCAAGATCCTTACCAAGTCATCATCACTCAGAAGCGTCAGCATCAGTTAAAGCAAAAGAACACTCTGATTACCATAAGCAGAGAACACTCTAAAGCGTTACTAAGCATTCAAGACAGATTAATTACCAACGGCTTTATTTAAAGACAAGATCTTCTCAAAAAGGAAAGAACGTTATTATCATTGAAATGGATTTATGGACAACAACGTACATTTGCCTTAGCTATATAAACAAGTCAGTGTGAGAAAAGAAAAGGCTAATAATCTTCACGCACGCACTCATACATTTTGCTAAGCCTTCAAACCACGCCTACGTAAAAGCATTAGCAATTCAGTTTTCATTCTAAGCTAAATTTGTGTATTATCACAGTTGTGATATATAGTTTTGTTAGAAAACATTAAACACATTCTTGTTCATTCTTTGTAAGAGATTTCCTTGAGACAAACCGGTCTGTGGTTATACTCAAGAAGGCTTTAACAGTTGTTAAAGTAGACTGTTGTAATCCTATTGAATATAGTGGATTAAGACCTCGTTGGAGAGAGGCGAAATCACCTTGACGGGTGGACTGGAGTAGTTTGAGATCAAACGAACCAGGATAAAAATACAGTGTTGTTTAAGCTTTTGATTTAAGTTTTACAATTCAACCCCCCTTCTTGTGTTTTTCACATCTTCACATAGTATAAGCAATTTACTCTTGCTTCTTCTTACATATACTCCATGTTCAGTTGTGCACTTCACAAATTCCTTTTCCCTTAGAAAACTATCAATTTTCTTATTCCAAGCCCATGGAGCTTGTTTCAATCCATACAGGGCTTTCTGTAGCCTGTACACCTTTCTTTCTTCGTCATGTTTCACAAACCCAACTGGTTGTTTAACATAGACTTCTTCATCTAAGGGTCCATTTAGGAATGCACACTTCACGTCCATCTGACATATGTGCCAACTGTTTATTTCTGCTAGACCAACAACCAACCTGATTGTTTCGATCCTAGCAACAGGTGCAAAAACTTCGTCGAAGTCTATTCCTTCTTTCTGTAGAAATCCTTTCGCCACAAGTCTTGCTTTGTGTCGAGTTACTTCACCTTTCGAATTCGTTTTCACTTTGTATACCCACTTGACATCAATTGCCTTCTTTCCTTGAGGAAATTCGACAAGTGACCAAGTGTTGTTGTCTTCGATAGACTTTACTTCTTCGTTCATTGCTTTCACCCACTTCGAATCTTTTAATGCTTCAGCTGCATTAACAGGTTCGACATCTGCATAGAAAGCATAATGTACCATCTTACTTTCATTATCTATTACATCATCTTATGTAATCACACAATCTTGCAATCTTACAGGCATGCGTCTTGTTCTTTGAGGTCTTCTTGTACTTGGTATATCTGCTGGTTCCTCTTGTCGAACTTCTCTTTCGACTTGAGTTTCTGGCTCTTCGAATAGGATTCCCACTGAATCTTTCTTGACATTTGCAGTCCAATCCCATTCTTTAAACTCATCTATGATCACGTCCCTGCTGATCACAATCTTCTTGTTCTCTGGATCGAACAACTTATAGCCTCCTGTCGAATGATATCCAACTAGGATCATTTGACTTGACTTGTCATCAAGTTTTCTTCTCAACTGATCTGTCACATGTCTATGTGCAATAGATCCAAATACCTTCAGATGACTCAAGCTAGGCTTCACACCAGACCAACATTCTTCTGGAGTAATTCCTTCTAGCTTCTTTGTAGGACATCTGTTCAAAATGTATGTTGCAGTCGAAATAGCTTCACCCCAAAACTCTTTAGGTAAACTCTTGCCTTTCAACATACTTCTCACCATATTCATGATGGTTCGATTTTTCCTTTCTGCAATTCCATTTTGTTGTGGAGTATAGGGTGGCACCACCTCATGCATAATCCCTTCCTTTTCACATAATCTGTCGAAGTCTTTCGACACATATTCTCCACCACCATCAGTTCTCAAAACTTTGAGCTTTCGACCACTTTGTCTTTCGACCATAGACTTAAACCTGGTAAATACTTCGATCACTTCACTTTTCTTCTTGATCAGGTAAGTCCATAGCTTTCGACTGAAATCATCTATGAATGTAACAAAGTATTTGTTACCTCCCATTGAATCCACCTGGATTGGTCCACATACATCAGAGTATATGACTTCAAGACTAGCCTTCGATCTGCTTCCTGCATCCTTGCTGAAGCTATTCTTGTGTTGCTTCGCCTGCATACATTCCTCACATACCTCGTTTGGAATGTCAATTTCTGGCAATCCTGAAACCACATTTCTTCTCTTCAAATCTCTGATGTCTCTGAAGTTGAGATGACCTAGTTTATAATGCCATATCCATTTATCTCTACTAGCTGCAGTCGAAAGGCACTTGTGCTCCGTCACATTTAGTTCAATCTTGAAGGTTCGATTCTGAGACATAGGAGCCTTCAAGATTACTCTCCCATTTGCATCAAGGACTCTCATCAACTTATCTTCGATTGACACTTTATAATTCTTTTCGACCAACTGCCCTATACTGAGCAAATTGCTCTTCATGCCCGGTATGTACAACACATTGTAGATTACTGACCTTTTGCCATCTTTCCTCATAATCATAACATCACCAATACCTTCAGCTGCCAGGATATTGTCATTTGCAAATTTTACCATATTTTTCTTTGAGGGCTTTATATTGACAAACCAGTCTTTCCTTCCAGACATATGTGATGAACATCCTGAATCCAAGTACCATTGGTCCTTGAATCTATCTTCATCTCTTGTTGTGACCATCAGCATCATCTCTTCTTCTTCATGTTTTGCAAGCTTTACATCACTTTCTTGATTCTTTCGTTTTTCTGGACAATCACTCGAATAGTGTCCATATTTCTGACAATTGTAACATTGAATGTGACTCTTATCAGGTTTTCGACCACCACCTCTTCCTCTATTTGCAACACCACCTCTTTGGTTGCCTTGGTATGGTCTTTTTTGATTCGACACGTCTCCTTCGATTTGGTTTCCTCTACCATTCGATTTGTTGTAGCCACCTCTACCTCTGTCGAAACACTTTCCTTTGCCTTTGGTCTCTTTTGCTGAATGTGCCTGCAAGGCGACATCACTCTTCGATTTTCCTGCAGCTCTTTCGTTCATTCTTTGTTCATGAGATTCAAGCGTCCCTTGAAGCTCTTCCTTTGTCAATTTCGACAAGTCTTTCCCCTCTTCTATCGCCACCACTATGTGGTCGAACTTAGGAGCTAAAGATCTCAAGATCTTCGACACAACAGCTCTTGTTGTTAACGCTTCTCCATATATCTTGATTTGATTTACTAGTTTTGTAACTCTAGTGAAGAAATCAGATATGTTTTCACTGTCTTCCATCTGAAGCAGTTCATAGGTCCTTTTGTGAGTTTGTAACCTCACTTCTTTCACCTTCTCAGCGCCTCCAAAAGACTTCTCAAGGATCTCCCAAGCTTCTTTTGCAGATTCTGAATCACTAACCTTTTCGAAATTGTCTGGGCTGACACATTGATGAATTATAAATAATACTTTATAACTCAGCTTCTCAGATTCTGTGTATTTATTCTTTTCTTCTTCTGAAGCGTTTTCGCCAAACGCTTCGTCTCCATCTTTTACAAGGTCCCAAAGATCTTGACACCTGAATAAGACTTTCATCTGTTTGCACCAATTCTCATAGTTGTCAACTTTCAGAATTGGTAGCGTTGCTGGATAGTTTGCATTCCCATAACTTGTCATCGTGAATTCTTCAATCGTTCTTAATTGACACTTCCCTTGAATCGAAACAAAAGCTCTTGATACCAGATGTTGGAAATCCACCAAATTCTATGATGAATTTCTACCACAATGACAATTTAATTATGAGACAAACAAAGAAAAGAAGACAAGACAAATATTTCTGCAGAGTTTCTCTCGGTCCACAAACTGTGGAAAACATTCTTAATCACTTATAACTGCAAATTCTGTGATTACAATGAATTGACTTACTTGACTTTTTTGAAAAATAGGGGTTACTCCCTCTATTTATAACTGAGCTTACACCCTAAGCCCAAAGCTCAAAATATCTTTTTGTTACTAAATCAAATCAAATCAAATCTATTCTGGACTTAAATCAAATCTATTTAAATCTAAAATAAATCAAATCTTCTTTGACACTATGAATTACAATTTAACAAATAGAAGTTGAATATGACGAATTAGACTAAACTCTCACAATAACATAGTGAATCAATATCAAATCAAATTATGCCTTGAAGATGCATCTTCATTTTTTATTTAGCTAAATAAAATTTAAGAGACTTAGTTTCAAAAAAATAAGCACCGCAAACAAAAATCTACATTATCCAACACAAGATAAGCACTGCAAATGCATCAACCAATAAGTCACGATAATGGAGAATATATTATTTTTGATACACAACATATTCTTGACATGATATCCCACTCATATGCTCAATTCTTCAAATGGAGCACAACAATAAAGTTAAATACAATTTCTAAATTAGAAAACAAATTTTTGAAAGAAAAGAAATCAAAACCAAGAATCATAGTTGAAACCTCGTTGATGCACATCCTCAAACATTTGAGATCGATCTCTATGTTTAGCAAGAGGAGGAAGCCTAGATAGTTTAACATAACTATCATCCTTTACATCCATTGCATTTCTACATGAAAAAATACAATAGTTTCTCAAAAGTGCTTTTTTGTTCTTGCTTTGAAACTTGCAACTTTTCTCACTTTTAGTACATTCCTTGTACGCCACAAGAAAAGGGTCTTGTTGTAACTTGAATCCCTTCCCCGAAGTGCTTCTTTGAGGAGGTTGTGTAGTTGGACAAGGAGGCAAAGGAATAGGAATCTTCTTGTCTTGTTGAAATTCTATAATGTTTTTCTTGTTCTTACTAGGTGAGAATTTGGAAAATGGTTTTGGATTTATGATATTTAAAGGATAGTCCTTGTTTGGAGTCTTGCAAATTCCTGGCTTGTCCTCCCATGAGAAGGGTATGCTTCCATAAGAATGAGATTTTCTATGACTCATTTTAGCTTATCCAAAAGAATCAATAAGAAAAAATGGCTCAAAATGTTATAAGAGAAGGTAGAGTTTGGGGTTATAACTCTATAACGGTTAATTTGTGATATATCTAAAGGGTAAGCAAAATAGAACGTGAAATGGAAGTTTATTAGTATTGCTTATAAATGAATCAAATAAAGCATATATGTAACCGAAGAAGAAAAATATTAAGTGTAAAAAGTTTTAATTTTCCATAACTGTGGCGAATTAGAAATAAAGTTGAGAGATGGAACTAAACTTTTCATGTTATTATTGCAAGTTGCTATGTCGACATTGGAAAGGTTGATTTGCGGTAGGTGGAGTGGGTGGTGTATTTAGTAACTGATGTTTCTACCATTTGCAGCTTGTGTTTTAGGTGTAGTTTAAAGGTCAAATGTACCATTTCATTAAATTTCAAGTAGATATTTCTTCCATTCTTGGATCCTTTCTTACAAATTAATTGTATTTATCCCCCAAATAAGTTACTCCATTATTTTCAACATTGAATACCTTTGAGAGAAAAATATATTAAATATAATCGGATTTCATCTCTAAAAACTAACTCAAATTGTAAACTTATTCTCACACATTTATATATTCAATAGTCGGGAAATTTAACAATAGGAGACTTTAGATAAACTCCAATAATACAAAATACAAATTAAAGATAATAAAACAAGTCTGACCCACAGGACAATCTATTTTATCCGCATTTTTTTAGAGGATAAAATAGCATTTCAGATGCTCATCTTTTAATATGTTTATCTCACCTCATTTTTCTTGAACGCAAATATGAAACAATAATTTTTATAACTTTTAGTTTATATTGTAGCCCAAATAGTTTCCGTGGATATTCGAAGTCGTTGTCATTATTGGTGGCAGTTGCATAATCATATGCAACATTGAAATCAAATTTGACATCATTAAGAATAAAATGTGCAACGATTTTAAGTTCCGAAGTTGATTTCTGGTAGTTTTTGTCAAAAGAACACATTGCGTAAACAGTAGAAATGATTGTTCTAAACTTTCCAAGCATTGTCCAAATTAAAAGTATGAGTTAGTGATTATTTTGAGCATGGGAACGAAAACAACTTATTACCTAATTAATGAAAATAATATATTGAAATGGTGACTAGAGTCAAGTGCAAGGAAAGGTTGGGCAAAAAGCTATAAGAAGGGAATACATTATATTCTCTCAATTATCTTTTCATTGCTCATTAGTCATATTTTTATTAAATTTTATTATTCTCAAGTCACGCAGTTTATATATTTTAGATTTTTAATTTAAAATATAAAGAAATAGAAGAGGATGTAAACCATTAAATTTAAATTGAATGGTTAAAATAGAGAAGGGTATTAGGTGTTTTATATAGTGTAAAAGTATTGTTCAAGTTGAAGGGAAAGTTTTATTATACTGAGGTAAGATTTGCGATTTTGTACGGAATAAAATATTGGGCGGTTAAGAATCAACACGAGAATAAAATAAGTGTAGCAAAAATGAGGATGTTGCGGTGGATGTGTGATAAAACTCGACAAAATAAAATTATAAATGAAAATATTAGAGACTGCGTTGGGGTAGCGCCTATAATGGAGAAGATGGTGGAAAATAGAATTAAAAGGTTTGGGAGAAGACCGGTTATTTTGTAGTAAGGAGTGTAGATCAGATGGAGAGAAGACAAACAATTAGAGAAAGACGAAGACCTAAAAAAACTATCAGAGAAGTTATTAAGGAAGATCTCGAGATTAATGACTTGGATAGAAACATGGGAAATTTTTTTATTAATAACCATGTATTAAAAAAATATTTCGCAAATAACCGGGTTTCGGAAAAAAATACGCAAATAACCATGTTTCAGATGGCTCCACAAAGGAGGAGTCATCTCAATTGGCGCATGCACCTAGGGTTTTGCCCTAGGCGCCATCTCACTTGGCGCCTCCCTTGTCTTTTAGCCAAGTGAGATGGCGCATGCTCCTTAAAAATGAGAGGAGGCGCCATCTCACTTGGCGCCTAGGGCAAAACTAGGGCAAAATGCTGTTTTATAAATAATTCGTCAGTTTCTTTGAAATTTCTCACACTTTCTCGCACTGTATTTTTATTTTGTACTCCGTTATTTGCGTAATGACGTCGCCTATGATTTTTAGCAGAGATGGTTACGTTATATTCTCCGCCATGAAACCTGCGATGAAAATGAAATTCTGGCACATTCACTCCATGGAGCGTCTGAAGCGGGAGTTGATGCGGTGGCTAGATGGAGACATCGCGGAGGGGGAAAAAATTCGAAGGATCCAGCGAAAACGAACAACAACCTCGCATGCGACAGGAAGACCTAATGTGTGGTTGGAGGAAGTCAAAACAGACAGTGATGTAATGCTGATGATGCATGGGTCAGATGAAATTGTGTTAACAGTTGTAATTTCCTAGATTGAATATCGTTAATCATTGTTGTACGCGAAAACCCTAATGTAATTTCCTATATTGAATTTCTTAAATTGTGTTAACAGTTTTATTAACGAAAAACCCTAATGTTTACAACACAAATATTGAAAAGATTTATTGTATTACAATATTTATATGGTCGAGCCAGACGCCCGATTCAGACAGTTTTTGCGATTGTGTCCGACCTGACGGCATAAACCACACTTTCTTTCCAACCTGTCAAGATCGTCCATTTCTGTTGTGATGCGCCTGCTTTTGGGACGACTCTTCTTGTTCCTTCGCATTTGGTCATTGTGCCAAACTATATCGCCGTTGTATTCAGGCCAATAGTCCGGTTTTGCCACCAAAGGAAAGTTGTTGTTGTAAACAGTGAGCAACGTTTCAGATTTATAAACGTTTGAGAGCAGTTGAAGCGCGTCTTGATGGGTATGAGCACAAGCGGCAATGACATGAGAGCAAGGCATACGAAATGCTTGAAACCTGCCACAATCGCACCATTGAGAAGGTAAAATGACCCTGTATTCTTGTCTTGCCAGGCCTTCATTGTGGTCGATTGTCTCTTTCACAATGAAGTTGTGGCTGTGTCGGTCAAACCGTGTAACCATGTGAGTGTTGGCTTTAGCACTTTCAGCCTTAATGTATTTCATACAGCTTTCACTCCATAGTTGTCCTGATTGCAAGACCGCATACCACATTTCACCTCTTTTGGCAAATAACGCAGCCATCCTAAAATACGTGGATTTTACCAAGGCAGTGATTGGGAGGTTTCGTATGCCCTTGAATACCCCATTCATTGATTCAATAAGATTTGTTGTCATATGCCCCCATCTTTGGCCATTGTCGTATGACCTAGTCCACTTTTCGACTGGTATATTGTCGATCCACGTATCGGCTTCTGGATTAGACAAACGGATCTCGTTGTGGTAATATTTGAATGTGGGTTGTGTCAATGCGTATCCCGCATTCATCACCCCTTTCCTCAATGTTTTTTCCTTGACCTCCCTCGAGAAATTCTGGACGATATGCCTGACACAATAGACATGCGTAGAAGGAGGGTCATGCCAACCATTTGCTGGATTATTATAGGCACTTTCAATGGAGGCATGTCTGTCCGAGATCAAACAGAGATCTGGTTGAGGAGCCACGTGTGTACGAAGATTTTTCAGGAAAAAGCTCCAAGCACCACCGGTCTCCCCCTCGACAAGGGCAAACGCAACGGGGAAAATGTTATTGTTGCCATCTTGTGCAACTGCCATCAATAGCGTGCCTTTGTACTTCCCATACAACCAAGTCCCGTCAATTTGTAGAATTGGTTTGCATGATGCAAACCCTGTGATGCATGGTTGAAATGCCCAAAACACGCGAATGAATATTCCGTTGCCATGCAGTAGACTACCATCTTGGGCGTACGCTGGCAATGTTTCCAGAACATAAACACTACCTGGAGAATATGTCTTGAGTGCATTTAGGTAGCGGGGAAGTTCTCAGTATGACTCCTCCCAGTTTCTGTACACCCTTTCAATCGCCTTAGTCTTTGCTAACCACGCCTTACGGTAAGACGGAGTGTAGTTAAAAACTGTGGTGATGTGGGAGATGATTGTTTTCACCTTCAAAGAAGGGTCGTTGCTGACCAGGGGTAGGATTTCTTGACATATTAGATCATGGTTGAGTTTTCGGTGGTCTTGTGATTGAGTGGAACTTACACAAGTATGGGTAGTCATGGAACCTATGACCCAGCAGTCACCCCTTAATCTGTATGATGCGGTCAGCTTGAACATACAGTCAGGGTGGACACACTTGATCTTGTACCTTTCCGGGTTTACACGATCCACCTTAAAATCAACCGAGTTGAGAATATGAAATTTTTTGATGGCCCTGATGCATTCCTCTCTGTTACGAAACTTGTCCTTCTCTTTTAAATTTTCATCCGACTGCATATACGGTTGGAAAAACAAGTCAGTAGAAGGTTCATCTCCGCCCATGTTGAAGTTTGTCATGTGCGGAGGTGGTGTGTAGATTTTGTCAGTAGGAATACTTGGGATGCCATCATCGTCAGAATCGTCGTTCACCATTTCATCAAACTCTAACTCGTTATCTTCTTCTTCATCATCAACTGCATCTACCTCATCTTGTTCATTCTCCAAAGGATCAACCTCCTGTGTCACCGGAGGCTCTACCTCCTGTGTCACCGGAGGCTCTTGAAGAAAAACGTACAACTCAATAGAGTCGTATCCAGAATAGACATGGCTGGAAATCATGTTCTGGAGATCCTCGTCATCTTGAACTTCAACCTTATAAAAAATTACTTGGTTGTTTCCAAAAAAAAACTGGATTCTGATAAAATATCTGGGATATCGGGCCTCGTTCAAGTTTGGCCTCCAATCTTTTCTTGAAGTACGAGAAATTTGCTTTCCCGTTTAAGAGAAATCGAACGTTGTCGGTGTTTCTAAACAAAAACCCAACTGTGGGACAAATGTATGTCTCACCGTTGAAATGTGCTTTGACAACAAATTATGGTGAAGAGGCCATTGTGTAGAATTGTTTTAAAGTT